TTGTAAAATGATAGGAATAGTAACCTCTGGCATAGGATCAGGGGAGCTCTGATGGCGCAGTGGTTAAGGCATTCAGCTGTTAACCAAAATGTCTGTGGTTTGAACCCACCAGCTGCTCCATGGGAGAAAGATGAGGCAGTCTGTTTCCACAAAGATTTATAGCCTGGAAACTATGGGGCAGTTAGGTCCACTCTGTCCTATAGGGTCACTATGAGTCAGAATTGACTCAATTGCAGTGGGGTTTGGGTGTGGGGTAGGTTCCATACTTTTGGGAGAATCGGTAAGATTCTCCCAAGCACTTACTGCAGTGCCTGCCACTTATGCTTCATATAGGAAAACTATTATTACTCGTATGTTGTTGTTGTTGTTATGTGCCGTCGAGTTGGATCCATCTCATAGCGACCCCTCCTTGGGTTCCCGAGGCAGTATCACTATGGAAGTAGATTGCCCAACCTTCCTTCCAAGGAGTGGAGTTACTACTCGTATAGATTCTACTATTTGACAACTTTTCCAACTTTCACACAAAAATGTTGGCTGTTTGTAAACAGAGAGATGCTACTAAAGTTAGATAATTAAAATATCACATTCCTAAAACATAAAGTTGTCAAATAAATGCACACACATATGCACACACACATCGACTCAACTGAAACATCTGTTCAGTCAAGAAACACATGCTTTAAGACAACAGTTCCACTTAATATAAAGTCAGGATACTGCACTGTGCAACCACAGAGGGACAGAGGGCATCAAAATATTGGAGAAGACCCTGATGCATGATGGCTTATAAACAGATGCCCTCTGGGGACAGTGTGTAGGTATGTTTCCAACGTCTAATGAAGCAGTGAGAAAGTAGAATACAAAATTGTTAAGTAAATTGACAAAATTCTGTCTTATCATTTGACTTTAAAGGTATTTTGATAGAAGTAGAATGAATATATGTTGCAAGCTTTCAAGAAAAAGAGAATGACAGTCTCAGGTAAATAAAACAATCTATCACACGTTTAGTATGAGGCATGTACTGTGCTGAGTATTTTACATGCATTGTCTCTCTCTCTCTCTGTCACAGTCCTAGGAGGTAGGTATTAGCCTGCTGAAACAGAGAGGAAGATAACCTAGCAAGTTCCTGGTAGGTAGGTGACCTCACTGAGAGCTGCCTGACTCCAAATGCAATGTTTTGAAATCCCCCCCCCAAAAAAAAACTCAAACTCACTGCCATCGAGTAGGATCTGACTCATAGTGACCCCTCCTTGGGATTCTGAGGCAGTATCACTATGGAAGTAGATAGCCCAACCTTCCTTTGAGGAGTGGCTGGTGGGTTTGAACTGCCAGCCTTCTGTTTAGCAGTCAAATGCCTTAGGCACTGTGCCACCAGAGCATGGTGCTGACTCTTGTTGCCTTGAGGGTGTGGCCAGGGATCTGGATTTACACTTTCCTCACATTAATACAGTAATTCATGATCAGAAGTAACTATTTTACCAGCACATAAGAAACTGTAGTCTAAATCCTGGCCCTGTGAATTTTGGGGAGATATTAGAAATGGAATAGCAGAATCCAACAGAATAAGGATTGTCAGCACATTTCAAATTTGCCAGAAGGCAGGGAGATGAGAAGGAACCCTGGTGGCGCTACAGTTAAGTGCTCAGCTGCTAACCAAAACATCAGTGATTAGAACTCACCCAGAAGCTCTACAAGAGAAAGACTTAGCAATCTTCTCTTATAGATAATTGTTGTGCGCCATGGAATTTATTCAGATTTCTAGCGACCCTGTATGACAGAGTGCAACTGACCCATATGGTTTCCTATGCTATAAATCTTTACCGTGGCAGAACATCAGGTCTTTTCTCACACAGGAAGCTGGTGGGTTTGAACTGCTGACCTTGTGGTTAGCAGCTGACCACTTAACCATTGCAACACCAAGACTACCAACACCCAAATCCATTGCCTTCCAGACAATTCCAAGTCGCAGTGACCCTGTAGGACAGAGTAGAACTGCCTGAAGAGTTTCCAAAGCAGTAATCTTTATGAAAGCAGATTGCTGTATCTTTTTCCTGTGGAGCAGCTGCTGGGTTCAAACTATCAACCTTTCCATTAGCCATAGCTATTGCTCCACCAGGGCCACCAGAACTCCTTGCCACCAAGATTACAGCATAGGAAACCCTGGGGGGTAGATCTCTTCTGCCACACTGCATCACTATGAGTTGGGATCAACTCAGTGGCACCTAAAACAACAGCTACAGGGAGATAAGCATTGGGGCGAATCCCCTACACATGA